GTTGATATTACTTTTCAAATTTAATGATAAAGAATAGACTTTTTAATAAATATATATCTCATTTTGATTGATAATTAGTTGGGATTCACGTTGTAGTTGTCCAGTAGGATCAGTCCAGGCACATGAAAAAGAACTCACAACGTTAGCATTTAATCCAATAAATGAAGTTGTATTGGTAACTGGTTCTGCTGACAAGGTGACCAAATGACTAATCAAATAAATAATATAAATAAACAAACAATTAACTAGATGAGTAAATAATAAATATATGTATTAATTCTTTGAATATTTATACGTATATATATACAGAATCTTAATTTATGGGATATCCGTAATCTTAAAATTAAACTGTATACACTTAAGAATCATGAATCTAATATTGTTGATGTTAAATGGTCACCACATGATGAAAATATTTTGGCATCTGCATCAGCAGACAAAAAAGTTAATCTTTGGAATATAAATAAAATAGGAGCTGAGCAAACAAGTGAAAAAGTAGAAGATGGACCTCCGGAACTGTTGGTAAGTGCTAGAGATACAATATATAGTTAATATATTAATGCCATTGTTGTTATTATTAAATATCGTTAATTGTGTAGTTTATGCATGGTGGACATATTGATAAAATTTCAGAACTAAGTTGGAATCCTCTTGTGCCACTGATGATTGCTAGTACCGCTAATAACATTATTCATATTTGGCAACCAGTAATAAAATATTATTATTATTATCTAATTGGAGTCTTCAAAATATGTATTACTAATCTTTTTTTATTATTCTAATGATTATTAATAGTTATTGGGAGTGCTTGAAGAAGATTCATCTGATGAATTCTATGGATAGATATAAAAAAAGGTCAAGTATAACAATTATGAATAGAATAATATTCGATATTAATAGCAATAAAAAAATTTGTATAAATAGATGACGATCTTTGCAAAAAGTGTAAAAAAAAAAAAATCCCTTGGGAGATATGAAATGTAACACGCAATTGAAATTATATATCATCATGCGAAAAACTCCAGCGATTATTTTTTTCTTCATATTATTACTATGTTGTTGTTTTTGGTATTATCAATGAATATTTACTGCCTCTTGTCTAAATCTGTTTTCGAGATGTTGATCCTCTTGTCTTCTTCCTCCAAATCCTTTTGTAAACGACCGACAATTCCTAAAAAGGAAAACAAAAAAATTTTATTAATCAATTCAATAATAATAATAATGACAGTAGCAACATATAAATACCTTTTGGATCGTTTGAAGCAGGAGGATGTACAAGATGTTCATCGTCTTGCCATTTATCTTCTTTTGTTAGGGGTTTTCCCTCCATTGCGTCGAGTGGCAAATCTTTATCATGTCTAGGTAATGCGTGAAAAACCACCGAGGAATTTGGTTCACGACCTATAGAAGTTTGTTGCTGTTGTTGTTGTTGTTGTTCCCGTTCTTTTTGCTCTTTTTGTTTTCTTGATTTTATTTCTTCTTCCCAATCCTTTTCTAAATGCCCGACTATTCCTAAAAATTATAACAATAAAAACCAATTAATTCAATTATATAAATAATAATATTATAATATATAATAATACCTTTTGGATCCTTTGAAGTAGGAGGATGTACAAGATGTTCATCGTCTTGCCATTTATCTTCTTTTGTCCGGGGCTTTTCTTCCCTCAGTTCATCAAGCGGCAAATCTTTATCATGTCTAGGTGATGCATGAAAAACCACGGAGGAATTTGGGTCACGCCCTATATAAGAATAAGATGAGTTGACGTTGAATTAGTTGATTTGGAAATTACAGTTTTTATTTATTATTTATTATTCATGATTACATACCAATTATTGGATCTTGGTTTTTTTTCCAATGAGGCATTCTTTGACAAAAAATTTTATTATTTATGATATAAAAGGTGTAAAAAATTATTATTATTAATGAAAAAAATAAATGATTTACGTATTAATTTATACGTAAAAAATAAAATTAACGATTCTATAATTGGATTGAGTACGAAATTCTGATTGGCTAATTTGAGTTTCACGCGCAATGACAACATAATGTCGAAATGATACATTTGATTACTTCATACTTGCTCTATGCAACAAAGGTCCAAAAAACTAATAATAATATCCTCTTCCATATTTAACATTGGTTGAGCAAAAATCATAAAGTATAAATTCAGTAAGGAATTATTTTTTTCCCCTCTTGCCTTTGTTGATGCAATTTTTCCTTGGTTTGAAATTCTTACAATTGCCATTAAAATTCCAAAGTATAAATTAACAGGGCTTAGCTATCTTTTGAGGGATACCGTCAAATTCATCTCAAGCATTATTAGGTTTATTTATTGAAAAAATATTTTTTTTTAGAAAACATTTAATCCGCAAAGATTTCACGATTGTAAAATTTTATGTGAAACGCAAAAAGATTTTTCCACGATTGTGAAAATACCTGGGGATTTGTTGGGAAATGGTTAGAAAGGGTAAAGAAATTATTGTAAAAACGGTTGTCACAGCCAAAGATTTCACAAATGCGAAACCTTTATCAAATACATTGAAATCATTGTGACAATATTACAAGACATGAAACTTGAAACTTGTTTGGATATGTATAAAAATCATCCACCACGCCTCTTCCTGCATTGTTTATACCAAGGGCTGCGCATAATTTCGTCATTCTTTGTTTACTAATATGGAATTACAGATACCTTGTCAAAAATATAATTTAATAAATCTCAAGGTATTTTCACAAATCTTTGAATTTCACATAAATGAAATCTTTGTGACTTAAATTTATCACACCAGTATCATCTCTCTTTTCTGAATATATCTTTTATTTCTTTAAGTAGTGATGTCGACGTCGTTTTCGTTTTCGTGTCATTATTGCTCGTTACAACCTCACTCCTACCTTTTGAAATTTTGTACGTAATAATCTCCCGATGCCATCTATCCAAATGATAGGCTACTATGACCGCCAAATCCTGAGGGATAAGATGCAATGAAAAAATCAATGGGCTCTTTGTCATTTTTCAGATTCCTGTCAAAGTCTTTATATGCGAGGCAGTTAAAGTGCTATCATGGTGGTTAGTTTTTTAAATCTGAAACTTAAACTTGACATATATGAAAACCAAGTTTTGAGAAATCAATATTTTTTATTTGCGATTATTTAATAAATTTTTTTATTTACTGTTATTTCTTATAAGGGAAAACCTTTTTAACCTATTTATTTATTTATTTAAAAAAGAAAATTACCGAGAACTCATTTTTTACATATATAGTAATAGTAATTTTACGTCTGATAATCAAAATATATAAAAACTTGCTGAAGGTTGAGTTTAATTCAAAGCACGATGAAATTCCGTATCATGCAAGGCGTGATGAGCTTCCGGATCGAGGAGTTTCTGTATTACCCAAAGCGCAATGAATTCGCGTATTATATTCGTGACATTGATATCGTACCTTTTCCCATCGTTTCTTGATATTATAAAGAAACAAGAAAATCGAGTTTATTATTGATGTTTATACAAAATATTTATATAAAATGACTAATATTTATTTACCTTTAAGACAACTTTTATCAAACCAAACTTGGTGGGATCAGATTGAAATTTTGCAATGATATCATTGATCATAGCCTCTTCTTCTTTCCAGTAAATCTCGAGTGTAGAAACCTTGCCGACTATTTGCAAAACATTTCTGATCAATGAATCAATATTTTCATCTCTATCATATAGATTTACATCAATTTGACGTATCTCCTCTTTCAATTTTTCCGCTTTTCCGTTTAATAGAAATGAACTAATTGCGCAATAAATTGCAACAATAGCAACTATAAATAATATAACAAATATTTGCGGTATTGTACATCCGGGATAGAAAAAAACGAGAACAAGCGTTCCAAAGGTTATGGATTGATTCGAAAAATAATTAGATTTATCGGTTATTTCTCTCAATTCATTTTCTTTCACCGGCTTTAATTTTTGATTTAACAAAATCTTCTCATTATGCTTCTGGATTTCATTATATATATTCGATAACTTTGTTCTTATATTTTCATAAGAGTTGGTCAATTTTTCTGCATCTGCCTTGTTAATTCGCGCGTCCTCCAAAAGCGTGTTTAAAGTATAAGCGATCTCATCAGCTCCGTACTCTGGGTTTTCAAGCGTATCTAAGAATATAAACACATCGCCGGCACGATGGTAAAGTCTTGAACTCAAACTTAATGATCTTTGCAAATTTGAATGAAATTCTGAACGTTGGACACTAAGTTGATCGATTTTTTGCGCCAAACACAAGTTTTTTGCTTCAAATTCGGAGCAATTCTTGAAAAGCGCAATCGCCTTATTTACAGCTGCGATGGTCGCACTTAGTTCTAATTCTGTTACTCGAGGCATTTCTTGGAACATATTTTCGTTATTATCAATGGTCAGGAATTTAAACTTTTTTTTTATATTATTTTGGTATTTTAATTATCACTAATGACAATGAACTTGTTAGTGCAATTGACATTTCTACCTTTTTTGGGTAAGTGCGAGCGATTGAACTGGATTTATAATTTTTTGGACGATCTCAAAACTTATTATTAGTTATCGTTAAAATATGATACAAGAATTTAAGTGCTCTGTTAGTTATTTTTTACTAAATACTTAACAGCGTCCTGAGTCTTTGTCTGTTCTTGATGAAGGTAGCGTGAGAAGTGTGAGGGGAGGAAACCGGGTTTGAGCAAATAACTAGCCGTTTGAAGATTTTCTTTTTGTAAAAACCCATTTATAGAAGTGATTTTTAGGATGTGATTGATGATATGTAAATTAGTCGATACATATCTGACGTTTCTATGTAGATGTGCTTGTCCACTTTTGCAAATAATGGTAACTAAAATCATGGATATTATTACTGATGCTACTGGAAATGAATCACTCTCAATCGCCACTTTCTTTTTTTTTTAAAAAAGAAACAAAAGCATTTTTATTTTTGCTCTTTAAAGTCGTTTCCTTACAGTTTATATCGAAATAATGATTTCTATAGATCAATGGGATGATTTGGTGTTTCCAGATAACGTTAGCTTACAAAGAACTGTTAACGATGTGCTAGAAAATTTTCGCCAAGCGAAAGAAACAATTTCCAAAATTCAAATCAGAGACGAGATTTCAAATTCATCAACCAAATTATTTGATGAATTTGATATCGAAATCTTAAACAATGCGTTTAATGATAGAAGTAATGAGTTTAATGGATTAATCGAAATGTCTTTAAAATATCACGTGACAAACCAAATTTTGATTTCCTCAAAATGTTGTTGTGGCACAGCAATGTTGTGGGACTAGGTGCACCATAAAACAAACAAACAAGCAAACGTTTAAATTTATTTTTATCAAAATAGGAAGTAAAGGAAGTTTAAAGTATATAGAAGTTGATGTAACAAAAAAAATTTTACAATATTAAAAAAAAAAAATCTTTTGAAGATTTAAAATAATTTTATTTCAAATAAATTGTTTAAAACAATGATTTAAATTGACTACCACTTGTGTGATTAATTCAATCATTAACACTAAGAAATAAATAATTTTAATCTCTACCTCACCGCCTTTTATCATCATTTATTGATGGATTAGATGAAGATGCAATTTATATAATAAGGGATTCAACCTTGTGTTTGGTACCATATAATTATTGGCTTTGAAAAGATTGTCATTTTGTTTGTTATATATGAATTTCACTATAATTTTTATGTACAAATTCCATACCATCTGATGATAATATTCTTTCAAGTGAAGAAAATTTTCTTTTTTTTAGGTGATGTGATTGACAAAGACGGAAAATTGACTTCCAGTCAAATGGCGAATTTAATGTCACAGGATTTGATTTGTTGGTAAAATGCACTTTCTGATCCCATTAGCGACGGTAGAGGTTTTGGGCTAATGTTTGAGAGGAATGGATAAATTTCAGCGGATAATCCGAAAACCTAGAATTTTTTTCTCAAGCTTCATCTCTCCAAGTTTTGGCTTCTTTTTATCAACATCATTCATCTCTTCATCTATTGAAATAACATTGATTGTACTAGCACCAAGCTACACCAGTGTTGTGACCCGAAACTCTGAGTTTAGGGAAAACCAGAAACAGAAACTAACAGAAACCACCCGAAATTAGTTTAGGTTAGTAGTTTATGTTTAGGTTTAGGTTTAGGTTTAGATTTCTGCTTAGTGTAAGTTCATTTTCCGAAACGTTTCGGGAAGCTAAAAGAGTTTCTGGTCACAACACTGAGCTACATGTATAAAGACAAATATGATCGAGCTGGAATACCTTCAATTTCTGCAAGGGTTGATCCAATTTTTGCTTTGGCAAATTTAAATTTCACTACCCAGTTGTGTGCCTGCACCAAGATGAAGGATAGATTATTATAAAAATGCAATGTCAGTTTGTTGTTGTAAATAGACTGGGATATTTAAGTCAATCTATGCCGACCTTGCTTGCTGCACAGAAGTTGTTTATAGCAACTTCAAAATACTAAAATAAAAATTTTTAAAAAAAAGTTAACTGATAAGTTTTATTGTTCACTACTCAAGCTTCAAAATTAGTTTTTCCTTGTTAGCTATTTTGAAAATTCCAAATTTTGTTACATAAAGAAATTTGAGACTAATTTCGTGCAACAAATTTTTTTTTAATAATAAATAAAAAACTTTTTTACTATTACAATAAAAAGTTTAACGAACATATACATTGAAAATTTTATTATTACAATATTTAATTCGTCATTTCGCCAAATAAGACGAAATCATTTCCCATTTACAAAGCATTTTCGTCGGGTATCATTAATTCAAAGCCATGTTGTCAGAATGTGTAGGGAAGCTCGCATCAATAATGGTTAGGAAGAACCTAACTTTTGTTTTTGATAAATCAACTATGGCCAATAAAACATAGGATCAGTAATCGATTAGCATTACGCGATAAATGAAAATGGAACGATTTTTTTGCGATATTAATTGATACAATTTTCGACCCATCCCATAAAGTGGCTAGTATTCGGCACGATTTACTTGTTTGGCACGTATTACCTACTAGATATCTACTCAAACCCAGAGGATGACAATTTTATGACAAATACTAATCTGTTTAATCGTATACAGTCGTTTATCCTGGGCTGAAATCCAAAGCCCTTGTTTCTTTTGAGCGTTTATTGATGACGAAAAATTGCAAATTGCTTGAATGCTTATTGGATTAATCACGACAAGTACTGACAAGGGTTGCTTGTCAACTATTAGACTATCCAGGACATCGAGAAGTAAAAGTGAACATTTCGTTAACGATCCTTGGCCCAATGCAGTACCATAATCTCACTATTCAACTGAATTAATGTCAAGCTATAACACCTATAAAACACGGAATAGATTATTTACATCATATCCTTCAGAACCAATCCTGGCTAAAGCATCTCTTCAGCTAATGAATGATGAATATCTAACAATCATTGAACTTTTAATCCCTGCCTTATAACACTGGTAACAAAACAATGATTAAATGTTTGTAAAATATGCCATTTTATCAAAAATTTAAAATGGAGGCATATTTTTTTATCCGTGCAAAAACGACTATATTAATATAATCAGTAAACACAGTACAAACTGTACCTAAATTTATAGAATTTTAAAGTAATTGATCTGCGCCGTAACAATTCTCGTCAGAACGTTTTATTCTTTTCGTCTGGCGATAAATATATTTCGTCAGAGTGTCATTGCTTTGAGACGTTTCTTATCTGTATTGCGATGTATGTATTTAACCCTTCCCTTTATGATTGCTATACGGTTAATGAAAAACACTTCTTGGCAGGTTATCTCTTTGGTGCCTTTTCTTTGAAATACATATCATTTGAACCAACTAGATCGATTTATTTCATTTTCTCCGTTGGTATCACCATAAAGCTTGTCCATTCATGCACACAAGTATGAGACAATACAACAGTATCATCTGGGAACTGGTGTTATTACTTTGTAGCAGAAAATCATTAGCTATCGCTGATCTCTCTAGATATTATATGATGTATAGCTTTTCATTGACTAATTATCATATGTATTTTGCTTATTGGTGTTGTGGGTCAAAATTAAAATCGTGTTGAAATTTATAATTAAAAGTTTTAAGGGTGGAATGTTTGGATACAAAGTTCTGATTGGCTAATTTGAAATTTACTTAAAAATTCAGATTTTTTTTTTACAATAGCTTTTGGATTAGTGAATAATTTTTAGAAATATAATAATCATTTAAGCAATTAAATTTTTTTTACTGAAATTTATTTTCGTTTTAGGTTACTATGTTTCGCCTAACAGAATACCACAGGTCGTCTGCTACTTTTTACAATAGATAGACTGAAATGTGATTCAGAAGAGATAGCTGGCCCTACTAAAATTTAAAAAAAAACCTCTCTTGGATAATAATTCAGTTGACTATGAGACTGCAGAAACAATCTCGCCGTATTGCATTACAACATTGGGAATAATGTATGATCACGAAACACACATAGATACTTAAATTGGTAGATTAATTTTATTAATATATTTGATTATAAAGTATAGTTTTAAAAGCTTTTTTTTTTTATTAATTTGAATTATTTGTTTCATTAAACATCAGACCATTTTTCGCCACGCTATTTTTTAACGCATAGTAACTTGATTTGCAATTATTTTCTTCTTCTAACCATTTTTCTTTTATTCTTACATAAAGTTGGGGTAACTTAATATCCGTCTGTCCGTTTACTGATTCTAGAGCCTCAATATGTGATTCGAGAATTGGAATAATCTGTTCCCAAAATTGGTATAAAATGTCTGCGTTTGTGGCGATAGCCGGTAACTTGTTGTTAATAATTTCATTACATCGTAACAATTTTTCTTTTTCTTTCTTTTCTTCAGTGGATTGATCTGTTGTATTCTCTTGAGATAATTCATTAACTTTCGTCAACAATAAAGTTACAACTACGACACCAATAATGATTATAATAAAGTTATTGCTATAATTAAAATTATTGACTTGGGATGTATTATTGTTATGGCCTTTAATTTCAGTTGGTTTTATGTCATTAGGGAGGATTTCCTTTTCTTCTTTCTTCGTACAGTTTTCAGTTTTAGTTGGTTTTACGTCATCAGGGGGAGTTTTTTTGTCATCCTTTGTATTTGCACGACCTTCATTCCCAGCCTGTGTTGTAGTATTACTGCCTTCAAATTCAGGTTTGCCAAGGAAATTACCGAACCAACTTTTTTTCTTCGTACAGCTTTCAGCTTCAGTTGGTTTTGTATCATTATGAGTTTCTTTTTCATCATTTATATTGCCACTACCTTCATTCCCAGCCTGTGTTGTAGTATTACTGCCTTCAAATTCAGGTTTGCCAAGGAAATTACCGAACCAACTTT